CATTACTCTATGGTCTTCTGATTTTTCCTACCAGAGAGAACTGACCACCTCTGCTCGCTCTACCTGTACTTGCACACATGACCTGCCTGCTTTGTAGTCTACCTGCACCTACTGTGTATGTGCTTAGTGTCTAGGACATGTGGTTCCTCTTAGTTAAGCTTTTCTTCCAAGGCTAGGTTCCTTAAGGCAGGGCAGGGTCTTCTCTATCTCTGCAGCACATGTAATAGCACCTGTTACAAAGGAGATACTGTACCATGTCAGTATTTTGAAGTGACAAGTTTGAAAGAGAACTCCCTAGTAGCATAGAGCTCTCATGCAATACAATGCTGTGAAGATTAAGTACACCTGGCATGCTCTCAGTCTGTCCTAGATCTTCTCTTTCTTCAAAAGCCCTTTCTCTTTCATCTCTACATCTCTGAGAAGTTGCCTATGACTTACACAATGGACTGTGGAACCCCAACTCTCTCCCCTGAGCACTGTCTGACCTCAAAATACCTCCTTTTCTGCTTCTGTTCTTCCACCCCTGACATTAAAATCCACTTTTTTATTTAGGAATGACTTGTTTTCACTTGAAAAGACAGCAGCAGCTTAACATAAATAAGTCATTAGTTGGAGAAATTTCAAGAATAATGACAAAGGGCAAAGAAGATTTCCAAACCTGCCAAATCAAACCCCTGCCAGGGACAGACTTATAAGTATGACTTTGAATCACGCTGATCCTCTCTTTTCTGGCATGTTCAAGTACATTAAATAATTATGCAAGTACAGAACTTTGTTCAGTGTTTACACAATTTATCCACCTAATTGTGCACCCTAGCTTCTAACCCACATTGCTGGAATTAGAGCTGTTTTGTACGAGTTCGCTGTGGGTATTTGTTTCGTCCTGTGAGAGTGAAGAGGAAAGTGGCCTCCTCATCAGAGCTTCCCCCAGTTTCCCAAAGGTCTCCTAAACAAAAACAGTTAAGAACCCTATAGTAACACAGGACTCTTAACTCTGTCCCAGAGAAGTGTGTCTCAGTCTTGCTACAAAGTCTCTCAGACATGAAGACCTTTCCCAGGTAATCTTTTAATATTGTTGTTCACCTTATCTTTTTTCAACTTGTAAATATTTTGACTTTCCGGTAGTATTTTCAGTGGTACATTTTTCACTGTAGTGTTTCCAAGTCACATTGGAAATATTCCTTCTTCCTCACAACCGAGTGTTCTTTCCCCACATATGACCCATGGGTAACTAGGTCAGTGGCTCACTAGCAAAAGCACCCTGGGAGCATGCAGCAAGGACATCAGTTCTTAATTCCTCAAGAACTGCTTCAAAGTCTGCAAGTGAAGCCTTAACAGAAAGAAATATTCATGGAAGACTACACAAGAAAGGAATAAAAAATCACAAAACCTGAGGCTTGAGAAGAAACTTGGAGGTTTATCTTTTTGTTTTTCATCTGTGATTGGAATTATTACTGTTTCTCCAACAAATAGTCACTTGATTATTATCCAAAGATCTCTGATTACAAGGAATTTGCTACTGCACCAGGTATTTTTCTTATGTCATAACTCTAGAATTAGAAGATTTATTTTGACAATTAACCAAAATTGTCCTTCTCATTAGATTGCTTTAGAAATCTGGATACTGCAATTCTAGGTTTCTTTCAAGGAAGTTTATGGCACTTTCTGAGTCTTTTTTCTTATCACTTAGGGGCAAACCATGTCCTCCCATGGTTCATGCTACTATGCAGCCAGACCTAGCAATGACCCAGAAAGCTAATGAAAGAATGAATGAGCTGAGCTTTGTGGTACATGCCTATAATCCCAGCACTTGGGAGGCTGAGGCAGGAGGATCACAAGAGTTTGAGTTAACCTGGGCTAGGCAGTGAGCTCAAGGTCAGCCTGAACTGAATAGTGAGTCTTTGTCTTAAAGAAGCAGAAAAAGGAGAAGGAAGAGGAGGGTGAGGAGGAGGAGGAGGAGGAGACTGGATGAGCACCCATCTGACTAATAGAGATGGCAAAAGGTGCCCAATATTTTAAATCTCAGAGTCCTCTGACACTGCCCAATATGGTGGGCAGGGGTGCTGTGTTACTAACAGTAGCACCAATGTCTTCTGTGGGTGACACTGATGGGGGGACTCAGCCCTGAGCTTCTGAATTTGCCCTGAGACCTGAGTTAAAACCAACAAGGCACAAGCACCTCCTGCCTTCCTGCACTGAGCTGGGCTTAGCAGTTAATGCCCGTGGGACCCAGCAGAGCATCTAACGAAACAGAGCTTCAGTGTGTTGGAAAATAGGAGCAAGAGAGAATTCAAGGCAATAAAGTTATGTGTTTCAAAATCACCATTAGCTTAGCCCTCATGACTAAGAATACAGAGTATGCCACCAGGCCGGGGAGAGGAGGCTGGGTCCCAGCACCACCCCTTGTTTGCCATGAGATTTTAAGCAAGTTATTTAATGTCTCTGTCCCCTGATTTCTACAACTATAAAAAACTGGGAATATTAGCGATATTAATACCACCGATAAACAGGACTGAGCACAGTATGGACTACCTGGAATAATTAGATATGGTCTTCCCAGTAGTGCATCATGGTAGTCATATTCTCATAGGCATGGCCTGATAGGTATAAATGTGCCTGTGAAACAATGCCCAAAGAAACCTTGGGGAAATCTTACAACTTTCTTCTCTATAAACATCTTAATGTGGTCCAACAACATCCTCACAGGATGATCTGATCTAGAAGGAAAAGGACTGGACTAATTATCAGGACACCTGGCTCCTATCCCCTTGCGTCTCAAATTACTCCTCTGGTCCTCGTTACCCTGGTAACTGTTCCATTCCTCAGTGTTGCCAGGCAGAACCATTGGTATAGGGTGAAATTCAGTACATAATATGTTGATATAATGATCCTTATGATAATCACATGAAGGTCTGCTGATAAATAGATTTAATGGCTCAGATTATTTCCCTTCTCTCCTGAAGACTCTTCCAAGCCAGGTGTCTTAAGCTTGGAGCAGTCAGCCTTCCTCTTCTTTCTCTTCCTTTCCTCTCCCCCTTTCCTTTTCCTTCCTGCCTCTTCCTCCTTTTCTCCTCCTCCTTCTTCTTCCTCTCCCTCCTCCTCCTCCTCCTCCTCCTC